AAATGACGAAAGAGCCGTAACGTGGCTCCTTGATTTGAATTGCGCCATGCTTTGGGCAGGACAAATGGCCGGTGGAGAGGTCTTATCAATTACCGCTGCGCTTTACGGGATTTATTGCCTGTGGAACACAATGCGGCCCATCAGATAGCAGTATGGACTTGTCAGCGTGGAGTAGTTCACCCTCTGATATGCCCTGGATGTTGCGTCATCACATAGCCTGGTGAAAATTAAAACAATGGAAATCTAGACAGATTTTAGTGTTGCCCGGGGACCGAAACGTAAAGTTAAATGTCAAACTAGATTCCATTTCTTCTCTTTACAGATTTTTCCTTGGTCCCGTTCTCGATCATGCTGGGGCAGCCCCCATTTTGAGATCCAATTGGGATGGGCCAAACGCCGTCAGGCAATAAAGGGTGGGGGAGGTGGGGTGGATGATTGGGCCACAAAATGGGAGACCAGCGCCATTAATGCCTTGAGTTTTGGAGGGCCCACTAATTGGATGCCATCTCCCCTTCTTCAAAACCGCTTTTGAATTCGAATTTGTCCAAAATGCAAACCCAATTGCCGCACTTTCCACCGTATTTTCAGCACCAGCAGGTAAATATTCAAATCTGTTTGACGTTTTGCGTATGAGTTGTACTACCTGTTCTATTTTAGCAAAGACGGCAACCCTTTGGAATCTTCGATTTGTTGAAGGAAAACTTTTTCCCGGACGTCACGGGCAATCAGAGTCATCATCAAATTCCGAATGGACCTCAGGATTTTACCGAAGCGCAGGTAAAAAACCAAAACGTTACCTTAGGCTTTTTAAAGGCTTTGTTTTGGGTAAGTTAAAACTAATCGTTACAAGCAAATTAATGTGCTCCTTTAATGTAAAACCATGACTTCAGCAGCCTTTAAAATAATATTTTGAAAGTCAACGGACTAGCAAAAAATTGAAACTACTTAATTTAGTAACTATTTAAATCTATTGAAATGTAAGTTTCCAATAACATAAATTTTTAAGTTCCAAGCTGTAAAAAAATGTAGCAACATGCCTTTTGCAAATTTTGGAATTTTAGAAAGTTGGTTACCGCGGTTGCAAGGGCCATTTAATAAATAATTTCTCGATTCTAGCTCGAATCCTCCTCCGAAGAACAAAAAACCACTGAACCAAAGCCCAACCTAAAGAGCAAAAGGGGGCGGAGGAAGCTGAAAAAGCCGAGGACATCTTTTACTCGATTACAGGTCAGTTAAAGATTTGCACATTAAATTTTTATCTAGGTAGCAATCCTGGAGCAAAGATTCGCCGATCAAAAATATCTGGCAAGCGGCGACCGCCAAATGCTGGCCGCCCATCTCCAGATGTCAGACGCGCAGGTGAAGACGTGGTTTCAAAATCGCAGGACGAAATGGAGGTCGGTTAATTATAAAATCAATAATTTCATTTTTAGAGCTTTTAAATGCGATTTTTTTTGGGTATCTTAAGACTTTTTTAGGCGCCAAGAAGCCGTGCTCCGCTCCGAGGCCCAGGATTTTCATTTTCTGCCGCCCAGCAATAATGACAATGACGAGCAATAATTTATTCATATTTATTCATTTTGCAAAATAATTTGATACCGTAATCGAATACATAAAATACGTTTTTGTATATTTTTCTTATTGTGGAAACAGCCCGCCGCTGAATAACGCCGGGGTCAGCATCTAAAAGATTAGAAATAATTATTTTATCAAAATTTTCAAGTTTTTCAAATTTCTGAGGACAAAAAACTTGGGTAATTTAAAGTTATTTATTAAATCTGGCAATTAAAATATTCAAAGACTTACCTGAGGCGCAAAAGAAGTTAATTGCTGTGTCAATTGGAGCGTTCGGTCTTGGTCGATTCTCTTGCATTTATAGCGCCGATTTTGGAACCAGATTTTCACCTGAACATCCGTATTCAATTAGAATTATATGGTTTACCAGTCAGCTAGCATTTTATGAGACGAAAAATACAAACCTGGGTAGGGGTGAGCCCTAAAGTTGTCGCCAGCTCGTCACGCTCGGCCGCCGAGACGTAGCGCTGCCTTTTGAAGCGTTCCTCTAGTTCGGTTACCTATCAAAAAGGGTTAACGGCTTATTTAAATTCATATTTTAATTAGAAACTATTGAAGTATTTCAAGACCAGATAAATTTTCGAAAGAATTTCTTAACTTTTCACGATAAAAATATATTGGTCAAGTTTGGAGCTAAAATTTAATTTTGACACCCCCTAAAATGAATTTAAAATCAATAGAAACTTTATGGGGAAGTTTTAAAACTTTTGTACCTGCTCACTGGTAAATAAAACCCGGGGCTTCCTTCGATTTTGCTGGGTGCGAAGGTGGATATGTTGAGGCGGATGGGAGCCACCTAAAAATCATTAAAAAAATGGGTTATATCTTTATGTAAATAAAATAGAAATATTAATTTTTTTATACATTGAAAATTTAGACTGCAAAAGCATAAATGAAAAATTAAAAATTGAACTAACCATGTTTCTCAATATATCCATTATTGCCAGCAGGTACAATTGCTTGTTCATATAGGGGTGGAGGCTCGAATACAAACGCTGACTGCCCGTTGTTTGTAGCCTCGGGAATTGTCATACGGTAGGCATCGAGGAAGAACTGGAAATAAGCCGAATTTAGCAAAACAGTCGACAGACATTTGTCCAGGGTAATGGTAAGAATAACAATCTATATATTCGGTCATTTTCAGCTCAAGAAATTTTTTAAATAAATATTTTTAGATAAATTCTGAAGTAATAGGGTGGCAAATTACAGATTGGCTAGCCCAGAACCCCGTAAAGCCAAGGATTCCTATCTACAAAATCTCAAAAATCTAAATCCCACGAACCCGGCCAGATGCATTTTTGGCGGACTTTGCGTTCGTTTTGCACCCACCTCTGCGATTCCGCATACTCTGCGATTTTGAGTAAGACCGCTCAAAGATTCTTGAACCAAAATCAAAGTAAAACCTCAGAAAAACAAATAAAACATAAAAATACTGGTATTTTAAGAATCCGATGCGCTTTCCGACCATCCGAAAATTTTTAGAGCCCCAATCGGTCCCTGCTAGTTTGCCCAAATGTGATCAAATGATATTTCTTTTCTAAGCCACCTTCAAGTTTATTATTAAGCTTTTCTAGTCTGCCATTCGCTGAAAATCCATACCAGAACAGTACAAACCTGAAATTGCGGATGAGTCTGCTGATTTTGCTGGCTTCCTTGACCGTCGATTGGATCACAATTCATATTTTAAACAGAGGTGGCCGAATTAACGAATTCAAAGTGAGTCCAATTTTCAATTAGTGGAAAGCCAAGAAATCGGAAGGATGGGGCAAGTTTAGAATCCGAATTGAGACCCCGATTCTGAAGCACCAGGGAGGGGGAAGAGTATCATTTGCCGATCCATTAGCGCCTCTAAAGGAAGGGTATCTTATTGTCGAACAGGGCAGACAGAGAGAGAGACAGGGAGAGAGATCCCTCTAAAGGGACTTGGCACCTCATCGTGGGATCCTTCTCTTTCGAGGGGCCAAAGGAGCGCCCGGGATCGTATTTCACATACCGTAGCGCTACGGGCCTGGTCTTGACACCTTTCAGCTAAAATCCGAGCGTTTATTTTTTAACAGAGGAGAATATAACAAGACAGGAAATATTAAAGAAAACTCTTAATCGAGATCTGAGTTTAATTTGGGATGCAATTGGCTCAAAGTACTTTTTAAGAATTTCGGAACAAAAGTGCTTATTTTGATTTGATAAACTAAAACATTTTGCGAAGCATGCTAAAGGCGTGTCAAAAAATTTGCTTTTTTCCATCAAAGTCTCATAGAATTATTAATTAAAAGACGAAAGAATGTATTGCTAAGAAGAATATATTTGCATTGCGTAAAATAGAGAGAATAACAGTAATTAGTGCGGTCGATACAGTTTCCACAATTCGGCATCGGGAATACGCACCTTGAACCCCTATTTTTACGCAGTAATCAAACAATTCCGTTTTAACCTGTTTTTTAGATGTATTCACGCTCTGTCCAGATCAACTTCCTCAATCTGCACCCATTTTCATCAGCTCTCGATGGTGAGAGACGGAACAGTTTTCCTACTCACGGACGGATCTGATATTTCACCCCTTCACTCTTTTTGGCAGCCAGGTTGCGGGGGGATAAACGGGGCGATTTGTCGCGCACCCACCCCTTTTTCTACCAGTACTCTCTCTCCCTCTCTCTCTCCTCTCTCTCTCCCTCTCTCCCTCTCTGTCTCTCTCTCTCTCTCTCTCTCTCTCTTTTCTATCTATCTATCCATTCGGATCATTGATTCGGGTTTGGACCCCTGAAAAAAGGACAACAATTATTATGACTGGACAGTCAGAGGGGGGTTTTGTTGAATGCATGAAACTGTGCTTTTGAAATATTTGTTTGGTGTGAAGAGTTCGAAAATCAGAAATTTTTCACGTTCAAAAACCCTTCCTTTGCAATAAATAAATTTTAACTTTGGCAGCTTAAAAACAACATAAAACAAGAATCCTTTTAACTTACTGTATTCAATTGATTTAATTAGAATTTAAACGGAGGTAAATTAACTTTTTAACAGCTTTATTTATAATGTAAAAACGTATTTTTCTATAAATTAAGCAAATGTGATTTTTCTATTTTTCAAAAGATATTTAAATTTTCCAATTTTGGTTCATTTTAATGTTTACAATGGAATTTTTGCAATAAAAACTAGTAAAATATAGTTTTTCTATTTTTATTAATATTTTTGGCACTTATTCTTAATCTTAGTGTGAAAATCGGCATGAAACATTCAGTTAGATCCGGTCTGATTGATAGCCGCGCGCTAAATAGCGCCCTTTCTCCGCCTTTTTTTGCCGTTTCTCACTTTTTGATGTCTAGCCCCCGCCACAGACCGATCTTCGCTTCATCAGCTGCCTTTCAAAAATAATTTCCGATTTTTTGTCGATTGTCTGATTTTCGAAAAGCATTTTTAGATTTTTAATAATGCTGTTAAACCCCTCAAAATGGCGGAATATAACGGCTTTTTGGTATGAATTTTGATAAAATTTATTCATCAAATTTGTAGGCTTTTTGGAATGTGCAACAATTATGCCTATATTTTAATGCTGTCCGCCGCTGAGGATATCATCGAGAAAAATCATAAAGATGACGATATGGGTAATGGAACGAATTTGACGTGTCCGGTATGCCTAAATCAATTAATAATTGCATTCAAAAAGTTTCGTTTGACTACTATTAAGGGCATTTGGCGTCAGCCCCAGAATTTTGCGTCAGTGCCACGTCACCCCCCTTTCAATGCCACGTCACCCGTATTTTAGTTCAGTCTATTTCACAAAATGTTACACAAAATGTTTGTAATGTATTTAAAATATTTACTGGAAAGACTAGGTCAGTTTCTAAAAATGTTTACCTTCAAATTTCCAATGTCACTCTACTGTGTTGGCCCTTCAAATTCGGGCAAAACTCAATGGGTTAAAAAATTTGTTGAAAATATTGATAATTTGGTTCAAGGACCCCCTATCAAACGCATAATTTACTGCTATGGTGTGTATCAACCCATTTTTGAAGAAATGGCGCGGAACGAGCCACGTCTAGAGTTTATGGAAGGTCCCCCGACCCAAGATGACCTGAAAAATGTTGAAAATTCGTTGATAATCCTAGATGATCTGTTTCACGAAATGAAAGATAGCAAGCTTCTCACAGCACTGTTCACTAAATTGGTACATCATTCAAGTTGTGCCACAATATTCATTACACAGAATGCCTTCTTTGGGAATCGAAGCTCCCGAGCTAACGCAACCTATCTCGTTCTAACCAAGAACAATTCCGATAGACTACAAATTAGAAACCTTGCCTATCAACTGTTTCCCGAAAAGCCTCGTTATCTAATTGATAGCTACGAGGATGCCATGGAAAACCCCTACGGATACTTGGTAGTCGATAACCACGTCACGGCCGACGCAAAGCGCCGACTTTTTACAAGCATATTTCCCGATAAAAGCCTAGAAGTTTACGAAATGCTATAGTTTAATGGCAACTTCAAAAAAGCTAGAACGACTTTACACTAATATTAAATCGCCGGCCTCTTTCTCGTCGGCAACAAATTTGAGGCGTCATGCCAAAGGGGTTAGCAAGGCTCAAGTCGATCAATATGTTAGATCAAAACCTTCATTTTACTTGCATAAGCCCGCCGTTCACAATTTTCCAAGACGCAAAACAACTGGCAGTAGCCTTCACAGCCACCATCAAGCCGATTTGGCAGTCATGGCAAACATTAAAAGTTACAACTACAATTACAAATATATTTTGTTAGTTGTCGACTGTTATTCCCGGCAAATTTTTACCAGACCTCTAAAAACAAAGTCTACAAAAGAAGTGGCACAAGCTTTCGCAGAAATTTATACGGAATTTGCCCCGTATTACTTAATTACGGATAGGGGATTGGAATTTACAGGAGGTCCCATGAAGGAACTGTGCAAAAGGCTAGAGATTACACAATGTTTTCCAAAGTCCATAGTAAAAGCGGCAATGGCCGAGCGGTACATTAAAACTCTAAAATATCGCCTCTACCGGTATTTCACAGAGAAAAACACGTATCGATGGTTTGATGTATTGCAAAACTTTACAAAGAATATCAACCAAACGATCAACTCTGCAATTAAGATGAAGCCTAGCGCGGTTACTTGGACAACCCGTTTAACAAAAAATGTTGAAAAGGAAGCACATGTCAAAAGCTCAATTCTACCTGGTGATACAGTGGTCCTAACAAAAGGAAAGGAGACTTTTCAAAAGGGATATGCGGGACACTGGAATTCCGAATTCTTTACGGTTGACTCTGTTCTAAAAACTAACCCCAATACCTACATTTTAAAGGATCTAAATGATGAAATAATCGATAAGCGCTTCTATGGGGAAGAAATTCAAAAAGTTATCCCTCCGACTGTCCATGTCATTGAAAAAATAATACGCTGTCGTAATGCAGCCGACGGCCGGGAATGTCTCGTAAAATACAAGGGCCATGGGCCACAGTTTAACCGTTGGATACCCCAAGCGGAGGTTGTTACCGTACACAGTGAAATAGATAAATAGCTGAAATGTGCCAAAATTTCAATTGTAATGTCCCGTAATCGTCTTACGAAACATATTCCTTTGCTCGAAGCCGTTGCAAACCCAAAAAGTGTTGAAAAACAACTGGAAAGTGCAACCGACTACGAAATCTCCCTTTTAATTGAACTATTTTTTAATATTACACAGGGCCGTGTCCCACTATTCAAATACGAAGCAGCTACTTTGAAAAAGTATCTGCCAGTTATCGAACAAATTGCAAAAATTCGCAATTACTCAGAGGCTCGAAAGGCTTTGAAAGAAAATTTGAAACTAGTTTCGCTTGTTGCCAAGCCTGGCATTGAAATTGGTAAAAATGTACAAGGATAAAAAGTTTTTTCGAAAGTTGGTTATACCGCCAGCTGATATCATCCAGCAAGGCGATGGTTACGAAAATACACCTCGTGAACAGTTTGTTGAAAGGGCCAAAGAAGCAGAGAGTCAAATGAAAAGGGCTCTCAGTGACAATCTTCCCGACGATGTGCAGATGAAAATCTATCAACAGTTTCTAAATCTCCTTACAAAATTGGCAGGTGAAATTCAAACAATTGACAAGGGTCAAAAGCCAGTGGTACTCCCAATTCCTCAAACAACCCCAGAAACTATTGAAGATGTTGGAGCTACTACCAAAGCGCCTATCAATCGAAATAAAAGAATAAAGAGACCCCGAGCAAAAGTCGAACCTAGCCAAAAGATTTATAATACTTTGAAAAGGGCTGTACGGACTGACGATCAAGATAGAATCCTAGATGAGAACGGCATGAGTATCTCTGCCAGCAACATCTTTGAAATTGCAAGGGCTGCAACTACAGGCTACACTTACTATACACCCGAGGGGTATAATGAGGCGTATGCCCAGGTTCAGAAAAAGTTTCCAAAAGTGGCAGCACAGATGCAACCTCCAAAAGTTATTAGTAACCCTCCCACCCCTATCAAACTAAAAGGCGATGGTCTAGAAAAATGTTTTCGTGTATTTAAGTATAAACAATGTTGTTAATTGAATAAAATGTTAGAAGACGGACTTTTGGTACGTTCAAGTTCAACACAAACCAACTTTTCAACCCGTAGTTATACATTAGCAAAGGCCCGAATAGTTATAATTTTCCTAATCGTTATTGCTTGCTTGATAAACATGACTATAGCCCATATAAAGGGCTCCGACTTGTCAGTATGGCTAAGTGCAACTCTTTCTATTGCCTGTTTACTTGTACCTTCCCCTTTAAAAAGTAAAATTAAACAAAATGAGTGATGATTTTTACGTAACAGTTGTTGGCCCCTCATACAAAAGGGGAGGCACGTTTATTAATCATCTACCCAAAGAAGTTAGTATGTTTGGCCCAAATAGCAGAGCCAGTCAATGGGCCTGTGCCCTTGTTGAACTTGTTGCCACTGGCGTTTCTGATCAGATATCCGAAAACCAAGCAATCAAGTATTTTCCAAAAGATGGCCAAAATAAACAATTTTCATTGCCGGCTGGCAATTACCTGAAACCTACACGCCTGGCAAACGCCCTCAACTCAATTTTTATAAAGACGCGCAAGCGACGAGATGTTTCCGTAACGATACCCGTGTTACCGTCAAATGTTGGTGAAAGCGGACCCGCGACAAAACTACTACCTAGGAATGATGGATCTGCGCAAGCAGAGCCAGTCGCAAAAGCCCCCAAAAGTTCTAATGAAATTCCCAAAAATAGTCCGGGACAGGCGGCAGCCACTGCCGAATTGCCAAAAAATAACACTACCAGTGGAGGTGCTGCAAAGACTACAACAACTCCTGCCGATTTACCCAAAAATTCTTCAGAAAAGCCACCAAAGCCCGTAACTGAAGACTTGCCCCGAAATGCGCTAGCAAATACACCAAAGCCCGTAACTCAAGACTTGCCGAAAAATGTCCCTGTACAACCCACCCCTGCGAGACCTGCAATAGCAGCCCCAATCCCCGTGCCTGCAAGGCCTGAACCTGTGCGAGCCCCTGAACTACCAAAAAATGTTTCACAGCCAGCCCAAGTTTTAACTCAGCTTCCGATACAAGCCTCAAGGCTTGTCTCTCAAGGCCCAGTGGTAAAGCCGCCCAAAATTGAATCCTCACCCCAGAGACTGCCAAAAGTGGAGGAAAGGTTTGAAAATGTTCCAGTTGCCAAGCTACCTAGTTTTACAGATAGTTTCTCCTTTGACTTGAAACTAAAAGCTTTAGAAGGTTTTGGAGTTGGTTTTGAATATGATGAAAATCAAGGGCGCTTCTCCCTTGAAATTGACACACAAAGGGTCAAGAAAGTTGTATTACCCACTTTGCTATGGCAAATGATGGGCTTCGAGGCAGATACTATTAATGCCTCAACTCAGGCAAGATACTTGCCAGATTTAAACTTTGATTGTCGCACACTAAGGGTATATTGCGACCTTATTGAGCCCCATATGGTAGGCGGCAAAGAGATGGAACTGCTGCGGGCAATGGCAAATGATGCAAAGCCGGGCGCAACCTTTTGCAAAGCATTTAATCCACCCGTATACCACCTTGTCAAGCAAGGAAATTTCAATACTATAAAGTTGCGGATAACAAATGAAAGGGAACAAGAAGTTTTACTAAATCCTGGACAGTCGCTGGCCCTCTTACACTTTAAAAGGGTTTACTAAACTGTAAAATTCAGTCTAATTAAAATGTCTGTAACCAACGCTTACGCACCCTTCGACCCAATGGGTATCGCCTGGGCCTTTGGCCACGCTGTCAAAGCCCCGCTGTCCAATGTTTTGAAAGGCAACGGACGTCTAGTCCCCTTTCGGGATGGAAAATATCTATTGCCTGTCAACAAGCCTTTAGACTTGCCACCTCAAATTTTGAAAAAGTCGCTGAAAAAGAAACAAGTTTTGCCTCCCTTGAACCCATTTCCAAAAAGTAGAAAAGGCGCCCAGAAACGAAAACATGTCATTCTAACTTCTATCCCACCCACCAAATTTTAATGTCAACAATCAAAACCCTTGAAGCCAACCCTGAACTGGCATTTTCTAGTGAGTTGGCACTTTTCGAACCTATTCAACATGTTGTTGGCGTTCAGTCGATGCGTTATCGCAGCATTGCGCCAGAAAATAGCTCGCTTAACCAAACGGGTCCTTACACGTTTCGGATAATGAAAGAACCAAATTTTATCTCACTGGCCCGTTCCTATGTGACAATGACACTACGGCTCGTCAACTCAAAAGATGAAGGTTACGACCATTCAAAAACTGAAACCAAAGACAACAAAACAACCATCACCATTTCGGAGAGATGTGCTCCAATTCAATACGCGGCGCGTTGCTTTTGGAAGCAAATTACGGTAAACATTGGCGGCACACAAGTTGAAAACACGGGAGATCTCTATCCTTACAGGGCTTTCCTTAATGCTGAATTTATGACTGATGAAAATGTAAAAAGAAATAATCATGGACTTGCCCAGCTCTATCATGCCTCCGAGTCCGGCGCGGACTTGCAAACTAACGACGGTTTTGAGAATTTGAGTGTCTTGTTCAAGGAGGGAGCTAGCGTTCAAGTTAATAGTCCTTTGGACCTAAACCTGGCGTCTACAAATCGACTACTTTTGAACAATACGGACATGCAAATTACTTTGCATCGTCAAAACGACCGCTTTTTGATTCGTGGATATGGTTCCGCGGATGAAACTTGGCGATTGGTTGTAGATGACATTCGGCTCGTCGTGGCCGAATATCAACTCTATCCATCGACCATGGCAGCCATTGAAAATCAGTTGGCCCTCGGGAAAAAGGCCAGTTATCCAATGAGAAGCTATCAGACCAAAGCTTTTTACTTGCCGGCTGGCACACTAAAGATGCCAGAAACTCAACTATTTAACTCTAATCAAATTCCTAGACGTATATTTGTTGGTCTAGTATCCCAGGAGGCGTTTGTTGGCTCTTATCAAAAAGATCCCTGGCGTTTCAACCACCACAATCTAAAGAACATGCAAATTCACTATGGAGGCCAAACGATACCGCATAAGCCTTGGAACCTGCGCTGGGACCTAAACGGCATGGGTTGGACTGAGGCCCACACCCAAATGCTTGAGGGAACCGGCATGGCCGGCAGTAATCTAACGAACGGAGTCGATTACCACCACTTTAGAGACTCTAGATGTGTCCAAGTTTTTGAACTTTTACCCGACGCTGATGGAGGTGTCGAAAGTTTTGATATGGCCATTGCTGGCCAATGTTCGCTAGACTTGGAGTTGTCTGAGCCTGCTCCGACAGGTGGCCTGTATTGTATCGTACATGCAGAGTTTATGGACAAGCTTACCCTTGATATAACTAGGCAACCCCAGACTTTGGCAGTATAAATGGACAACCTACAGTTGGAGAGACTACTTTCCACAAACTTTATTACAAGACGCCACTTTCGCGGAATTTTTACTTCAAAAAACTTACCGGAAGCCAATTGTAATGGGTCGTATGTCATACACGAACACAACCACTGGACTGCTTGCTATGCTGCCGGCTCCACCGCCTACTTTTTCGATTCAATGGGGCAAGCCCCTTCTAGTAGAGTTCGACAATGGTTGCAAAAACATTTCAAACAAGTCTTTTACAACGAAATCCAGCATCAAGAGTATGGAACCCGGACTTGCGGCGCATTTTGCCTTGTTTTTCTTCATCAAATGTCTCTTGGGACAACATTTTGTGACTTTGTCAAGTTTTTTCGCGCTATATCTAATGATGACTTGTATGTAATTGCCTATTTGCAAAAATATTTCCAAATCGTCTTGCCCCTGACCTATGCCTCTCGGCAAAAAGTATAAAAGCAGTACGTAGCAGGAAGGATCAGTCATTATTCTTTCAGTCTTACTTTTTTCTTATTCCCGAATGGATTCAGCTACCGTAACCAAGAACTCTTGCTCCAAATGTCAAAGAGAGTTTTCGACTAGCTCTAATCTATCCAGGCATGCTCGTCAGAATTGCCGCGGCCCTTTGAACACTCAAACAGAAAATCCCACTTGGGTTTATCCTGAACACGGAAGGCTACCAAAGTTTTTCCCAGGACCTGAAGACACCTTTACTACTGAGCAGATGGCAAATGTCCAACCGACTGAAGAGCAACTCGAAACAAAATCTGTCAAGGAGAATCCTAAAAACCCTGTCAAAGATGTGAACGGGAACAAAGTTTTTGAAATTTTGTTTTTTCATGATCCTAGCACTAACAATTTTACTTCTGTTGTTCGACCCCATTTCCAAACCCTCACTAGATTTCGTGCATAATTTTTCCTAAAATTTTACTTGTGATTAGTGTGTTCTATAAGAATAAATTATTAATTTAACCAATTTTGAAGCTAAAACACGTTTTAACAACATTTACAACATTGCCCATGCCTATAACATGACACAGACACCAGTTACCATATCCCTGCGTCTATGACCTGTACGGACAGTCTGGCTCCAACCGCAGGGAACACGGGGGCGCTTGCGCGCTGGCAGCGCGTAGTTCTAAGAGACAACAGACGACGAGGCATAGCGCACAGGCATTGGGCAAGCCCAAGAGACGATAGACGACGAGGTGATCGCGCGGTTTGCGCGTAACTCCAGAGATTTTAGACAAAGAGGTGATTGCGCGGGCAGCGCGTAACTCCAGAGATTTTAGACAACGAGGTGATCGCGCGGGCAGCGCGTATCCCTAGAGATTACAGACAACTAATGATCGCTCGCTGTGGGATTGCCCGGTAAAAGACGCACGCCTGAGCGTCCGATAGTTCATATAGGGACGGGGGACTTCCCATAGATTCTAGACGTGGCTCGTTCCGCGCCATTTCTTCAAAAATGGGTTGATACACACCATAGCAGTAAATTATACGTTTGAGAGGGGGTCCTTGAACCAAAGTATCAATATTTTCAACAAATTTTTTACCCCATTGAGTTTTGCCCGAATTTGAAGGGCCAACACAATAGAGTGACATTGGAAATTTGAAGGTAAACATTTTTAGAAACTGACCTAGTCTTTCCAGTAAATATTTTAAATACATTACAAACATTTTGTGTAACATTTTGTGAAATAAACTGAACTAAAATACGGGTGACGTGGCATTGAAAGGGGGTGACGTGGCATTGCAAGGTGGTGACGTGGCATTGACGCAAAATTCTGGGGCTGACGCCAAATGCCCTTAATAGTAGTCGTTTGTTTTACTAAATAAAATAAAGTATAGCTTTTTGCATTTTTTGAAAAAGTTAGGACCTGATTTTCAATGTAAGATATATTTAGCGTTGGGCTAATCTGTAATTTCAATTATTTTTAGCTGGAACGCGGCACAAAGCATTGCTCGAATCGTCAATCCACTGGCTTCATCCTCCTCGCGGATGTGTTGCCAAGTTTTATAATTATGGCTATTGCACCATTTTTCGCGCATAAAATTAGTTTTGGGTAAGTTTTTATTACTCAAAAAAAGAAAAATTACAGTAGCCCAAAGCCATTTTTGCATTTTTAGCCTCCGTCATTTCCTCGTCGTGCTATCCCAATCGGCCGGTCTATTGATTGTCGCTTATTCCGAGAGCTATTGGATCGCCATTTTAGGTAAATTCAATTTTTCACCGCTAGTATCAATTTCTATGATTTTTCCAGGCGTCGTCCTGGCCTCATTGAGTTGCGGTCTCGGAGAGTCGACCCTCGTCTCCTATTCCTGTCATTTCCCCCATTCTACCGTAGTCGCCTGGGCATCCGGGACTGGTGGTGCAGGGGTTATTGGTTCGTTTTAGCGTATTTTTACGTATTTCTGGCGTGTCTTTTTTTCAAAATTTGATATATCGTAGCAAAATTTATAGGTAAATTTATTTTTTAAATCATAAGTTAAGAAGACCCAAAAAAATTTTTAGGCTCCTTTATCTACGCAGCGCTGACGGAACCACAGCTGTTCGGACTATCTCCAAAGGATGCGCTGCTGGTTATGCAGGTAAAAAAGCGCAAAGATGCCAAATAATTAAATCAAACTAAAGTAATCAGTTAATAACAGTTTTTTAATTTAGAAAATTTATTAGTGCCGATTTTCTTACTCCATAGACATTTGCAAGTTTTTTGCGCTTTTCTTGAGCGTATCCTTTGCTTCTAAAGCATGCAGGAAATTATAAAATTTATTGATCATCAAAAATCCATTGTTTTATCAATTTTTAACTATTTTTAGGTAGTCCCCATTACCTTCGCGATCGCCTTCTGGTTCCTCCTTGATCACCCAGAAAATTTGATCTCTCTATGCCGCGGGGATAGTGACGCGGAAGAATATACGGAACGACCAAGACAAATCTCTCAAAGAACAACCTCATTCCGAGAGAAATTGACGATAATTCAGGTGAAAATTTATTCCATGAAATTTAGAATCTTTTAGGGTTTGTTAAAATACATAATTCCGCTTGTTCTGGTCTATTTTGCCGAGTACACGATTAATCAGGGGCTGGTGAGTCTTGAAAAAATAGAAACTACAAACTACAAGCTACAAACTACCCCGATTTTATTTTTCAGACCCAATTGATCGTGTTCGATTGCGGGCACGCCTTTGGACTGACGAAACACAGTCAATATCGGTGGTATCAGGTGGGTAAAAGCTTACGAACGAACCTTAGAGTTAACCCAGTTAACTCTAATTTTCGTGTCACCGTCCCTTTAAACCAAAAATTCATTGGTCGCGTGTGCTCAAAATCATCAAATTAGACTTAAACGTTTTGGTGGTGACGTCGATTTGCACGACACGGTTACGGCAAATTACACATCGTGTACGTATGGCCGAAATCCGTCTGTCACTATCCCTTTAAGACACCAAGAACTCAATTATCTTTCAGGTGCTCTACCGTGCCGGCGTGTTCATCTCCCGCTCCTCAATGGCCATCGTCAAGTTGCCAGTTTACGTGTTGTACGTACTTCCAGTGCTTCAGGTATCAAAAATTCCATTACTAGAAAAATTCTGAATTTATTTTAGCTGGGCAATACAGTGTTCTTCTACTTCGAAGCGATCCACGCCTATTTGCCCCATATTGCCATCGCATTCACGATTATCTTCTTCGAGGGGTTGTTTGGTGGATCGGCATATGTGAAGACGTTGAATCATATTCATAAAACGGTCAGGAAGAGAAAAATTGAGATTTTGAAAGGATTTTATAAATAGTTTGGCGGTCAGTTTAAATAATTCCCAAGTTAAAACTGGGCAGGCTAGCGTGGATTTTTGAGGAAATTGGTTTTCCTGAGTATTTTGGTCAATTTTCGGGTTTTCTTCCGGGTTCTGGGCGCTAAAAATTTCCTCATAAGTCGCTTTTGTAGAAATTAATGATTTTCAATATAGGGAAACCGGAAATCCAGAAAATCATCGAAAAATCAACGCCAAAATTAATTCCAGGCCGACCCAAGTGTTCGAGAATTCTCACTGGGTGTCGGCACTTGTTCCGACACGATCGGAATCCTATTCGCCTCCTTCTCGGCAATATTTGTGAGTCCCAAACCAGAATATTCTTTCATTAATTAGCATATTTCCAGTTGCACAACCATATCTGTGATCTACTCGGGTGAAGCTTTAAAAAAATCGATGCGATAAATTGTATCATATTAAATTGCTAAAAACGCCTTAAATATAGCTGTAAATCGGGTTGCCTCCAATAAAGTTTGATGCAGAGATCGAGAAATTTTGCAATTTTTCTGTCCATAATCCGCGTGAACACCCAAAAATGGGCAGTTTTCCGAACTTTTTGATGAAAAAGCAAGTGGCCGGAACTGACCTATGAAGCACCCGACCAAAAAACGGAGTGAAAAACGGCGCAAAAAGCTTTCACATCCCCCATTTTTGATCATTGATTTCGGGGGGCGAGAACACTGATCATCGAGTTCCGTTATTTCTTTGCGGGTTTTTTGATGCTTGGCATTTTTTAGATACCGTTATCTAGTCGAAGTTTTCGATTCAACTTTGAAACCCTTTCTCTCTATCTCAAATCTCTATTTTTCCATTTTTTTTGTGTGCTTGAATTTGTATTCTCATGTTTAAAGGTTGATGCAAAATTCATCAAAAATAATTTTAGACCCTTTTAAAATTCATCCGGAATGATGGAACACTCAAAAATGCGTAATATCGCCGCATTTTGGTGAAGAAAAACGTTAAAATATTAAAAAAAACTATATTTCCAGGCTGTTTGGGATGTGCAATAATTATGCATATATTTTAATGCTTTCCGCGGCCAAAGATATTAATGCCAAGGGAACCCTGTTGACGGGGATTCAGGAAATGCCAGTTGTCCGGTAAGAAATACAAAATAATCCGGATTACCTTAAAACTAAAATTTTTTAGTTTATTTTAAACTCGTTAAAAATTTAACCAGCTTGAAAAAATGCAAAATTAATTAATTCATTAACTAAATTTGATTTTTTTAGCTCGAACGCGGCACGCAACACTGCACCTCGCATCGCTCGACCGGCCTCATTTTAATGGCCGATATCATTCCGAGTTTTATCATGCAAGCCACCGCACCATTTTACGCGTATAAATTAAGCTACGGGTATGGAAAATTTATTAAGAATCGATAGCTCAAATTTTTCCAGATGGCGCCATCTCCTCGTAGTCCTCAGCCAGGCTGGCGGTCTCCTAATCGTCGCCTATTCGCAGAGCTATTCGGTTGCGATTTGTGGTAAGAAAATTATATAGTTTATTTATATCTTTAATTGATTATTTTACTATACTAATAACGTATTTATATCAATTTTACGTTGATATAACGATAAAAATTGACAAAAAATATATCTATTTTTAGGCGTAATTCTGGCCTCGCTGAGCACGGGTCTCGGGGAATCTACCCTAGTCTCATTCTCCTCGCGTTTTCCTCATTCTACAGTAGTCGCATGGGCTTCAGGGACTGGTGGAGCAGGAATTATTGGTATACTATTACTTTTAATGCTAATTATACCGCAAAAATAGCTTTTAAAAAATTCGAAAAACTCAAAAAATTGCTTTTTAGGCTCCTTCATCTACGCCGCCCTAACAGAACCAAAACTTGTTGGACTCTCGCCGAAAAATGCACTTCTGGTTATGATGGTAATCTTTTTATTAAAATGCTATGATATATTTTGTTATTAGTGTTAATTTAGCGTTGTTCAATTACATTTATTAGCTCAAAACATTAAAAATATACAATTTTTTAGATGGTACCTCTAACCTACGCATTGACTTTCTGGGTGCTCCTCGATCATCCCTTGAATATTGTCTCGTTGTTCCGAGGAATCCAGGATAAAGAAGTTTACGTAGAAAATGAAGAACAGGTCTACTTCGATGCAACGATCTACTTCTATGCGCGAGAAAATGGCCATAATTCAGGTTTTCAGGATCTTTTCAGGAAAAAATTTCTTTTTAGAGCCTTCTAAAACTGATGATTTGCCTGGGAGTTGTCTATATTTTGCAGAGTATACCATTAACCAAGGATTAGTAAGTTTAGCCAAGGCCTTAACTTTAACCATGGCTTCGGGTTTTGCCGCGCCGCGACACGCAACGCGCTGTCCATGTAGGGAGAATGCTTCTTCCATTCGCAGCTCAAGAATGGGCCAGCGCGTTGCGTGTCGCGCGCCCAACAAAATCCATAAGACCCATGCCTTGCCTGTGCTTTTAAAGCCACAGAAAACATAAATTTCAACTTTTCCAGTTCCAATTGATCATCTTTGACTGCGCCCATGCATTTGGATTGACGAAAGCCAGCCAATATCGATGGTTTCAGGTCGGAATAGCCGTAGATGCGTTGCGGTCGCGTTCCGGCTATAATAATAAAATACATTATCTATTTTTTAATTAATTAATTAGAAATTATTTGTGGATTTTCGGTTTAGTTTTCTCCATTTTTAGGTGCTCTACCGCGCCGGGGTGTTCATCTCCCGTTCCTCAATGGCTATTGTCAGATTGCCGTCATTCATTCTATACGTACTTCCGGTCCTTCAGGTAAGCAATTAGGTTATAGACTACCGACTACAGGTATACTACCAATTACGACGTTAAACTATGAAATTGACCCGTAATTTTCAGTGCGTAATGCTCGTTTTCTTCTACTTTGAAGCGATCCACGCCTTCATCCCTCATATCGCCATCGCATTCGGTGTCATCTTTTTCGAGGGTCTTTTTGGAGGGACTGCATATGTCAAAACGCTTAATTATATCCATAAAAAGGTATCAAAAACATTAAAAATTGAATTCGAAATTTAACTCTCTCCTATTTACTCCATTAATCTTTCTTTTTTTTCCATTAGAAACTAGAACCGAAGTAAACAACCAAAGGGATTTACTAACATTATACCGAAAAATGATTATGCAGAAAACCATTACGCAGAAAACCATTATGCCGAAAATACATTATGCAGAAAACCATTACGTAGAAACCCATTATATCGAAATTTCAATACACAGAAATTTCAATACGCAGAAATCCGTTACGCAGAAAACCATTATACAGAAAAACCAGTACGCAGAAATACATTACCTAGAAAATTCATTACGCAGAAGAACATTATACCTAAATTTCCGTACAAGGAAAAACTCTCTTTGCTGGAAATTTCCGAGTTGATGACAACGCATCATAAGGCAAAAAAATTGATGGATAAAATCCGGGAAAGTTAGCAAACAGGGTTCGGAGAAAGTCTTCAAAATTTGTTTCAAGAAGTCTAGAGAGGAGGGTGAGTATCGGAATCTTCAAATTTTCAGCCGATAAAACTATCTGCTGCAAATCCGCGAGTCAATGATCGAAACAACCTCAACGACCGCGGATAAACTTTTTTTTTATATAGAATCTTATGGGAGTGGAAGGTTGGGGTAAAAATTTCTGCGAAATATTTCTATATAATGAATTTCTCTATATTTTTCTGCTGTGATTCTTTATGGGATTTTATAATAAAATTTGGCTAATGGTTTCGGCAATGGATTTCTAATGGATTCTTTAATGGTTTTCTTAATGGGTTTGGTATAAGGTTTCTAATAGATCGTACCGAAATTCTCTAATTTAAAAAACCATCGATTTAAGGCCTCCCCAGACGTGCGAGAATTCTCGATGGGTGTCGGCACAATATCGGATACCGTTGGCATATTCTTAGCATCATTTTCGTCGATTTTGGTGGGAAATTATGGCTTTTATTAAGATTTTAAAAATGAGAAATTTAGGTACACAATCATATCTGCGATCTACTCGGCTAAAACTGGCCAGAAAGCCTGAATAAAAATGGCATCAAATACTGGGTTAAATGGCAAGGAATTTAAAAATTTTACTGCAGAAAACACACTTTTTGCACGGAGTTCGAATCTTGAGCTCAATTGATAAAAATCTGCATAAATAAAGGGAGGGTGAGGGAGAGGTAGAAGTCGATCACAGGTACCAACGAGATAAACAGACAGACAAACAAACGGACAGGCAGAAAATCGTCAGCGGTGCAAGGGTCAACGAGCCAACGAAAATCGGGTGATCCCATGCTGGAGAAGAGAGAGAGAGAGAGAGAGAGAGAGAGAGAGAGAGAAAGGCAGAAAAACTGACCGACAATCGACGAACAGATATCGAGATATCTCCTCCCCATTATTAGAGCTCTGAAAGGCTATCAAAACTGACCCGCCGCGCCTATTTCACGGCTGATTTTAGGCTACCGTATCCTGTAAATTCGATTTTTTGCGGTTTCTAAACTGTCGTACACGTCCCTTGCCGACCAGATGGGCCAACCGAATCGCAAAAATAAATGGAGAAGCCATTTGGCGTTTTGGTAGGGGATTTTCGAGAAAAGCTTGATGGTTTTTCGGATTTTTGGAAATTTGAAAGTTATAATCGTTTTTTGCAGGCTATTTGGGGTGTGTAATAATATTGCATATTCATTGATGCTTGGCGCTGCTGCGGATATTATAAATCGAGACAAAACCGAGATAGAAGTGGCGAAGAATTCGACGTGTTTGGTGAGGAATTTCGGATTTTTCCGAAATTATTTGGGCTTTTTGAGATGCAAACAATATTTGACGCGCATTTTTTATTATTAAAATTTTCTTCGTATGTAGTTAATTTTTCAATGTGTATTTGAAATACGACAAAAAAAATCGGATTCGAGGCTCCAAGCCAAACCCGGAAATGTGACGGTCATCAATCGACTGGGATTGTGTTATTGGCCAACATCCTCCCAGCACTCGCCATTCAAATCATGGCCCCGATTTTTCTGTCGCACAGATTGAGCTTTACGTGGGTCAATTCCAAATAACATGAAGATCCCAAGAATTTAGATGCCGTCAACTAATCGTCGTCGGCACACAAGCTGGCTCGCTGCTTTTGGTGGCTTCGACAAAATCATTTGGCTGGTCGCTTGTTGGTATGCTAGAAAAAGCACGAAACTACATATTTAATAACTTTCAAAAAACTAAAAATATTGTTTGTTACAGTAAAATTCCAAATCACATAGATTTTCCGAACGGAATTCGTACTAAAAGCCCAAAAACATATTGCAAAGCATTAAAACTACAAAAAGCAGCGCGCTTCATTAGTTTAAAGCCATGTAATTTCCGAATTAACTGTATTTCTATATCGTAATTGATTACACCCACTTTCAGGCGTGGCGTTAACCTCGTTCAGCAGCGGTTTCGGCGAGTCGACCCTGGTCTCCCTGGCCTCACACTACCCCAAAAGCACACTGATGGCTTGGTCGAGTGGCACGGGAGTTGCCGGAATTTCCGGTATAAAAACCTCGTGAAAAATCCATTAAAAACCGATTTTCAGGCTCGTTCCTCTACGCGGCTCTCACAGAGCCCCATATGGCAAATCTTTCGCCGGAAACTACCCTTCATTTATCGCTAGTAATTGAATTTTTATTAATTTTATACAGGTTTTTTTAAATTCAGTTCATCCCGCTAATATTCGCCGTTGCTTTTTGGGTGATTTTGGATCATCCTGGCGGAATTTTCGCGCTTTTTAAAAAGCAAAAACTGTCAGCGGCGGAGATGATAGAAGACACCAGCAGTAATGAAAAAATGGTCGAGGCGCAGAGAAGCACTTCGCTCAAAGAAAGGATATATTTGATTAAGGTATCGTAATCATTTAAAGCCCTTTTCAGAAAAAACTGGAGTTTTTGCGTCAAAATTAAGTTTTATAGCTTTTTAGACGCTTCTTCAATAGAAAATATAGTTTATAAAGCTGTCGCAATCGTTCGAACCCATTTTATAGCCCAAAAGCTAGAGTATTTGGCGTAAAATCGAGTTTTAGAACTTTATTTCAGCCTCTACTTCCCTATATGATTCCCCTTGCTCTTGTCTACATTGCCGAATACACGATAAACCAGGGCATTGTAAGTTTATAAAGATTACTACATGATAACTTAGGTTCTATAAACTCTTTTATCATTTTTAATGCGAATTCTAGACGCAATTCCTGCTATTCGACTGCGCTACCGGGCTCGGGTTGACCCGCGAGAGCCAATATCGTTGGTATAGTGTACGTCAAATTGCTATCAAACGCAAAAAGCCCAATTTTTCTAGGTGCTTTATAACATGGGCGTTTTCATCTCAAGATCGATGGTTTGCATCACAAATATGCACAGCATCGTCATTTTGATACTGCCGATTCTGCAGGTTTGCTCGAAACATGCTTGTTTTTCGATATGGGTTAAAAAAATCTACATTTGAAAGAGCTAAACTAGCCGAACGAGCCAAATTTCATTAAAAAAAGTTAAGACTGACCAGATTTAGTTTTAAACCTGTGGATTTTGCAGGTTTGGTTCATAAGAAGTGACTGAATTTAATTAACGGCCTAAAAACCGTTAAATTCTTCTCTTTACTCGATAAAAATCCGGTTTTTAGACAGCCAACCTTGTATTTTTCTACTTCGAAGCGCTGAATTCCTATCTTCCCCACATCGGCATCACATTCTTGTTGATCCTCTTTGAAGGTCTATTCGGTGGTGCTAGTTATATCAAGACTATCAACGATGTTCACGCCAAGGTTTGGGAAATTTCTAATAGCTATAAAAAATTCTAAAAAACCTTAGGTCCCACCGGATGTCCGTGAATTCTCGCTAGCCATCGTCACGATCTCCGATTCGGCTGGGATTATGATAGCCGCGTTTTTAGCGATCGGGGTAGGTTTTTATAGTTTTAAACCCGTTTTAAACAACTTTTTCTAAAAAACCCCTCTAATTAAAATTTTCAGCTCCACAATCAACTGTGCGATCAGCTTGCGATGATCTGATTTTGCGAGAAAAGCCCAAAATATAGAGAAAATAATTTACCCAACAAAAACATGGTGTAACCGAATATCCGAAACAACAAAAGAGAACTACGAAACTTCAGACTACAGCTAGACTAAAAAAACGAGGAGAAACAGATAAGGCAAAAATGAGCCCGAGGGGAGATCACAGAGAAATGTACAAACAAAGAGAGATTTCCGTATTTATCGAATTTTGACGCCGAACTGGTCGATCAGCTGCTTCTCCACCTCCTTGTGGACGATGTTCACCTGGAAAAAATGCAATGGCCTCTGCTAGCTCGCCCTATTTTCTAAATATCCCCTGCTAGCTACCCTGTCCATTAAAAAACTTAAAACGAATCCACCAAGTTCTAGATCGCAAATAACCTCTGTCAGATTGCCATAAATTCCCCAAAAAACCTTTGCTAGCTACAAAAACGTTCTACCGTTCTACAAAAACCGTAAAAAATGATAAAAAAATGATAATAATAAAATATAATAAATATAATATAATAAAATGATAATGATAAAAAATCTTAGCTGGCTGCGCTTCCTCAATGATCTATGCTAGCTACCCTGTCCATAAAAAAAAACTTAAAGATTGATTCATCAAATTCTGAGCCGCAAATAACCCATGCTAGCCTGCCCTATTTTCCAAATTTGCTAGCTACCCTGAAAAATAATAATTCCTCAAATTCCAACCAACAAATACTCTCTGCTAGCTCGCCAGAAATTCCCCAAAAACCCCTGCTGGTTGAGAACCAAATTCTCACCTCCTCCTTGGTCAACACCCGATCGTTACTCCTATACACAATCCGGTACGTCTGACTCTTCGTGTTCTTCTTCTTGTTCGTGAACTCGTCGGTCAGCTCCACCTGAAAAAAACCATTACGACATGATAGCGAAATTCTACCTGTTCGATCAATTCCCCTCCAACAGTCCGTATCGTGTCGTACACGTCGGCCGACATGTCGTTGAACTCACAGTTCGGCGGCAAGAAGAACGAGACGTCAAACGTCACCTAAAAATAGAGCAAAATAAAGAGGCAAGCTAGCAGAGATTTTTAGGGATTTTCTCCAGTAAAAACCTGCCTGAGGATATGCGCTTATCGGCTGATACTTGACCGTGTCTTCCGGCGCCTTTCCGGAAAATTGAGACAAAAATCCGGAGTCGCGAGACCAGAAAAGCCTAAAAAAGTTCAAAAATATTTTCGTGGCGTAACCGGCTATACCTAATATCCGGAATGCCGTACAACACCATGGCGATCCGCTCCAACCCGATACCAAAAGCCCAGCCAGCCTAGAAAAATCGATTACGGCACGAAATTCCCGTTCTGACCTTGTCGGTGATGCCGGCATCGTTGAGCAGCTTCTGCTCCATCACTCCGCAGCCCAGGACTTCGAGCCATTTGCTTTCATAGAACACCTGGAAATAGAGGGTTTCCTGACGTCAGAAATTCCTAAAGAATAGAAGCTGCCCAAACTTGAAAATCCATAATAAGCCTAGAAAAAGGTTTTCATAAATTCCCAAATAATATTTGCTAGCTTGCCTAATCTCGAAATGGGGATCCTTGAAATCGGGCTATTACGAATTCCCAAAAAGTCTCTGCTAGCTGCCGAACCTTAAAAATCTGAAAATATATTTCAAAACAATCCCGAAGCGTCTCTACCAGCTGCACAATATTGAAAACTTATCAAAATGCCTCGAAAAAAAAAGATTTTAGGAATTCCCAAAGTGTCTCCGCTAGCTAGCCAATCCCAAAGAATTTCTGGTAGCTTGCCAAATCCTGCAAATTCTTAGAAATGAATTTTTTTTGATGTCGTTAGCCCGCCCAATCTTAAAAATCGCTAAAAAAAGCGTTTCTCAAGGATTTCTCAAAGCATCTCGGCTAGCCTGCCCGACTTTTAAAACGCGCAAAACGTCCCATACCTCGAGCTCATAGCTGGGATGCGTAAACGGGAAATACGCGTCGACCCATCGTTTCTCGC